CTCAGGCACCAACCTGGCCCGAGAGCACGACTCTAGGAGCCTCCGATTGACACACTGAACATACAAACGTCCGGGTTATGAATCTCTCTTGCGAGCTCCCTCCACCCAGAGCCCGGAGGGACGCGGCTGCTGCTGAGGGAGGGGAGCCCAGCTTCCTGTCCTGAGGTGGAAGCTGCCGGGGCCGCAGAAGCCCAGGCAGGGCGGCTTCTCCCTGGGGTGAGCCTGCTAAGGGGCCGCAGCTCCTTTGGTCAAGGCTGCTTCTCATGCCATTAGCCCATGTGCTTAAGAGACCCATCAAGAAGGGAGTTCCACATCCCTTGTTGAAGGGATGAACCCAGAGAAGCATTTAGGTGCAGAAATCTTTGCAACCCTCTTGATCAGACCACACAGAGTCCCCCTCCCACTGTCTCCTCCAAAGTCTAGCACTGAGGGACACATCTGTGGTGGGAGTTCCACATCCCTTGTTGAAGGGATGAACCCAGAGCAAGCATTTAGGTGCAAAAATCTTTGCAACCCTCTTGGTCAGACCACACAGAGCCCCCCTCCCACTGTCTCCTCCAAAGTCTAGCGCTTGGGAGAGGGCTGTCCTGAGGGACACATCTGTGGTCACGGCCAGGGCTCTCTGGGCACAAGTGGGTGGAGTCTAGGCAGTGGGTTCAGGGGGAAGCGACAAACAAATGTCATCACACCGTGTCCACACCTTGCTCCCCCCACACATGCCTCACACAGCAGAGCCACCTGTGGCGCCTGAAGGTGCCACTCTGAAGAGTGACCTGAAGAACAAATGTTTAAACCAGAGGTGCCGCCACAGGTGCACAGGCAGGCCAGCTGGTGGATGGGGTGTGTGGCTTGGAAGGTGCTTTTTACAGCTCTGAAGGCGCCATTTAAAACCTGGGCGTCCATATACACACCTGGGCTTCTCAATTCTCTAGGAAAGGAAGTCCCGGCAGCCCAGGGCCTGCACCCTGCTCGCCCACCGAGGGGCGGGAGCTGACCTGAGCAGCCCCTAGCGACGGGGCCTCCTGAGGTTCACCAGCCCTGCCCAGGCCCGAGGCATCTGTCTCCCTATTTGCCAAAGCCTTCCCAGCAAAAGGTTCCCTTGGATCCTGACTCCATCCCTCAGGGGTGCGGTGGGGCTGAAGCACACCTGTGACCCCTGAGACCGGAGTCCGTGAGGCTCATCTCTGGAGGCCCCAGAATCCTTGTTGGCAAAGTGGCTGCCCTGGGGACTCCCCGGATTCTCAAGTGGTCCCTCATTTCTGATACAAAATAGATGTGGCTATTTTTAAACTTACTCTGTTTTAAACTTGAACATCCAGAGGCTGGCCCTTCTGCTATAGGCAGGCTCTGGGCCAGGCCCTGGTCTTGTTGGCGATGCTCCAAGGTGTGGGGAGGATTGTCAGCTGCAGGACTCCGGGCTTGTTTTAGATCACATAGAAACTCCCCGGTTACATTCCGGCTGCTGGCCCAGGGCTGTCCACACCGCTAACAGCAGGAAACCCCCACAGGATGGCTCGGAGGGTGGGCTGATGCCCCCGGGAGGCCGGCCCAGCTGGAGCTCACCTGAGCTGTTGAATGTGCGATTCGATGGAACGTGTTCAGCTGACCCAAGTAGCACGCTCTCTTCAAGAGCAGCCTGCACCTGGTTGAAGGCAGGGATAGAGAGGCGCTGGGTGTCCGGCATCCGCCTTGACGGCGAGACGGCGATTTCACCTTTGCACAGGTGTTCCTGCTTGAAGGGCCATCACCCTTCCCGCCCATGCAGGCCGCAGCACATCTTCCAATGGCATCTTTGTCCCTCTTGCCTTCGGCTGGACTCTATTCAATCGGAGCGTAGCTGTGCCTGTGCCTGGCGTGGGGCAAGTCCACCCAGCAGTTCACCGTGGAGGGCGCTCGCAGATGCCATCAGGAATTTGGCAAAGTCCCGGACACCCTTCCCCAGAAAACAAGATGTCACACACAACACAACGCCGCGCACATCACGGGGGAGGCCAAGGCCACAGGCTCACAAGAGGCACAGGAATGACCGCTGGGCAAGGAGAACTTGGATCTGCCCCTTAGGCACTGGGTCTGTAGGACTCAGATGAAATCCATCCTTTCTTCCACGGGACCATGTCCATAAGCCAGGCCTGTAGGGACCCCGTCTCCCCTTGGCCATGTCCCTCCATCATTTATCAAACACTGGCTGAGCCGGGTCTGGTGCTGGAGGTAAGCGATGAGCTCAGATGAGTTAGCAGCGCTGGCCTTGGGCTGGACTCCAGCTGTGACCCCCAGGGGCCCTGCCCCTGATCCATCTCCACTCACCAGTAGATGCTCCTGACTGGATGACACAGCCCAACCCCACACCCCAAAAATACCACCACACACTGCCATCTTCCTAAAGGTCGTTTTATTGTAAAACCATAAATACAACACCGACATGAAATCATTTAAGCAACTGATCCTCTCTAACCATTAAAAGGATGTCTTTTGCCTTGGCATCAACCAACCGGGAAATAATGTTGCAAGAATTCATGGGGTTGAGGGGTTCTGAATTCTGGGCGGGGGCTTTTGGCGATTTAAGGAACCAAGTGGAACCTTCCTCTTCTCCCTGGGAATGTCCCACTTTTGGACAAGAACAGACAGTTAAAAACAGCAACATTTAAACAGCTCAGTTTTAAATTTTATTACTTCGTAAAAATCTTTCCTTTTTCTGTTCCTTTCCTCCATGTGACATCAGTAAAAGTTTGAAACATCACGAAATTGATTTGGCTGTAAATGGAGAAACGGTACCAGGGACCCAAACAAAGTGAAACGGAAAAACCCAAAGGACAAACAGAAAACCCTTAAATACACCCACAAGTTTGGTCTCGGGGGCTCACACATCACACAAGAACCGTCAACGCAACCCCCATGCAATGTGACCCCTTGCAGAGCTGTCGGACCCACACCGACACAGGAGACCGCAAACAACGTCTTTCGTTAATTAACACAGCAAGGGTGACACTAGGTAACTTTTTTTTTTTTTAAATACAGTACATGGTACACAGGGTCCCAAGATGGCCCTGCATAAACCCCTCGTGGAGACTCGAGCCAAGCACTGGCTGTTTATAAAAATATTGTGTTGCTACAAAAGTATAAATTAATGCTACCGGTATTAAGAAATATTAAACACATAAAACTTATAAGGATTAAGAAAAATATTCATTAATACCTGTAGAAAACTCTGGCCTAAAAAAGATATTTTTTTGTGTTTGTTTTTTTGTAAATTTTTTTTTGTATTTTTTTTTTAAGATGACTTGAGTTTCTTGCACTCGAAGAGAGAGACACAGTCAGATGTGCCTATGGTATTGCCTAGAACATCTTCACTACTGAGAAAGGATGGGGGTGCGCGCACGTGGCTACGGAGTGGGGCCTGGGAGGGAGGGGCACCAAGGCTTTCTCAAGCTTTACCTGATGTGAAAGAATCACCGATGGGAAGTTGTGGGGGAAAGACAAAGGTAGGGTCAGAAGAGAACTGAAAATAATTTATCCTTTTTTAAAAAATATCTCTGCTTCGGGTGGTTGTACAAAATGATTTCCTGATGGTTGGGATCTGAATGGCCCTGGACACGTTGCCTGGTGGGTCTGAGCCTTCAGCCCCGCAGGTCCCTCTGTCTCTTGGGTGGTGAGTCCCAGCCCCAGGCCAGTCCATGAGCTGGCTCACTGCTTGGGAACCCAGCTGCCCTGGCTGGGCGGGAGGGGGTCCCCGGCAGGGACTGGCTGGCACCTGGGTTGTGGGAGGAGCCCCTCCTTCCAGCTGGTCTCAGACCCCCAGGTCTCTGCCAACCTGGACTTCAGGAAGCGCCACAGGGATCCCAGGCCCCTGAGGTTGCAGTCGAGGCTGGGCTGTGCCCCTGTAAGGAACTTTGGTTTGAAGAGTCAAGGTGCCCAGTGGATGGGTGGGACCCTCATGGGTCCAATGCTGACGCCCAACTGCAAACCCAGCAGATCCTCCTCGGAACAGGAGCTGAGTCTTTAAAGCGGCACCGTGGTGGTGGCGGTGGGGGGCATGAATAGACCAACAGGATCTTCACCCTCATCCACGTGGGAGCAGTTGCCTTTTCGCAAGGAAAGCACAGGGCCCTTCGGGGAAAGGCAGGGCTGTACTGACTACGATCCTCAAACCCAAATGAGAGCCCAAGAGAAACAATCAAATCCTCCAGAAAATCCTGAGGGGGGAGCCAGGAGGGGAAGAGGAGAGGGAAAACACTGCATCATTGGTTCACCATAACTGGCCTAGCAAACATTAGCCACAGTGAAGAGAGGGCAGCCCCATCCCAAGACTCCCACCGGCCCAGGTGGATACCGGGGGCTGGGCCAGGGCAGGCAGGGCCGAGACAGGAGCCCTCACCTCCTGTCTCTGGGGACAGCCTGAGCCTTCCTTAGCCTCTTGGTTCTGTCTAAAGCAGCAGCCTGTCTAGGAGCCCTCCTGCAAGTACATCCCAGGGACACAGGCGTTGGCCTGTCCCCAAGGCCAGGGCGTAGCCATGAACTCAGTCCAGCTCCAGGGGGCAGGAGCCCACCCACGTGCCCTGTGCACTTCCTCTTCCATCTCTGCAAGCGTGTCCCTCACGATGACAATCTCCAGGTACTGTCCCCTCCGGGCCATTTCTCACGGGCCTGCCTTCTCCATCCGCATTCCAGCGTCATTTCTAACCTTCCTTGTGACCCCCTGGAGCCCAGAGAGCATGCGCTGTATCCTTGACATCCCTCCAGGGGCCCACGCACTCTACAAGGAGCCCGGTCCAAGTCCAGGAGGAGGCAGGCAGCCTCCCGCAAGCACGGGGGACTCCCAAAGACAGAAGCTCGGCTTCACAGTGGAAAACCTGCCCTGCAGTTTTCCTCTGGTGTTTCTTGAAAGCGAAGGACAGGAGCAAACCGGAGAGAACTCCTGGCAGCCTATGGACCTGGTGTAAGCAAACAGTCCTTCCTAGAATCCCAGAGACACACACTTCTCAGTGTGCCATCAGGCCTTGCCCAGATCTGGTGTTTCTTGAAAGCGAAGGACAGGAGCAAACCGAAGGAGAGAACTCCTGGCAGCCTAAGGACCTGGTGTAAGCAAACAGTCATTCCTAGAATCCTGGAGACCCACACTCCTCAGTGTGCCATCAGGCCTTGCCCAGCCAACAGCCACTCTGAAGGCCAAGCACGAGGTTGCCAGGTGGGCTGGAAGCAGACGCAGCAGGTGGCTCCTCCCTTGTGTTTCCTGGTTTCTAACTACCACCCGGGGGGAGGCCTGGCTGGCTGACGGAGGCGCAGGGAAGGCAGGACGTTGCTGGGACAGGAGCATCCACTCATGATGACTGGGATGGCACCGCTGTTCTTGGTGGAATCGAGACCCCTGGCTACTCCAAATCTGAGGACCACCCACGAGACACGGTCCTTTGGGCTCGGGTGGGGAAGCCAGCTGACCTCAGGGGAGGGGCCAACCCCGAAGTCTCCTCTTGGGTCCGTGTACGCCAAAGCAAAGACCCGTTCTGTCCTGGGAATCACGTGGCTTGAGACGAGTTGTGTCCAAGTCAGCAGGCAAACATCTGGAGCTGCCCAGAACGTGACAGGAACGGTCCCTGGTCTGCCAGCTGCCGCGGGCCTGTGCTGGGAAGTCCCACAGCTGTCAGAGGAGTAGGAAGCAGGAGACAAGACCCTTCCCTAGGTCAAGGCCAGATCCGGTGCCTGGAGATTAAGTGGAAGAGCCCACCTCCATCCTTTGGCTGAGCTAGAATCTGAACAAGGTGGATATTGCTATAAATCGGGGGCCAGTGGCTGGACCTGTGAGATCTTTGGGTTGTTAAGAGGTTGGTGGCAGCAGGATCTGCACTATGGGAATTGCCTGCGTGAGGAAGCAGGCTGAGGGGTGACTCCAGTTTCTGGGGATCCAGAGGTTGCAAGAGAGAGATGGCTACCTGCCACCTCGTCACCACAGGTAGTCGAGGCAGCCCCAGGAGACAGCTTCAGCGCCTGTCCTAAGGACTAAACTCAGGTGGGACGGAAGACCAGATGACGACGTGACTCGGTACCTAGAATTCAGTGAGACTCGAATTTCATTCTGGAGGGCTGACATCCCGTGGTCCGAAGACTCTAAATGCACATCTGGACTTGGTCTCTGATGGCTTTACAAGAAAATGAAACGCCTACTTCCTAACGAACTGGCCCCCAAACGGGCAACACCAGCACACAGCTCTGCTCCACGTAGAGGGAGGATGGGCCCAAGGCCGTTTCCACCGACCACACAAAGGGAGCAGCTCTGATCCGCCTGGTGTGGCCCCTTCCCCGGCAGCAGAGCAGAGCAGGGCGGGAGGAACCTGGAGCTGGAGGTACCTGTCACTCCTCAGCACCCCTGCAGCCACCTTCTGCAAGGCCCGGAGGCCCGGAGTCTGCCGAAACACTCTAGGAAGTGACATCAGGTGATCGGCCAGTGCGAATGGAGGCTCTTCTGATGGCGTGAGCCCAGCTGGAGACGTTGTAGGGAAACACCTAGCCCTTCTCTGGGTGAGGAAGTGGCAGGGCGGTGGCTGAGGCCATGGCTTGCTGGAGAGAACGTGCCCACAGCCCACTCTCATACATTTCAGTACATCCAAGTCTCGAAGGGGTGGTTCTCATGAGGCAAAGTGAGCAGGCGAGGCCCCCGGGGACAGTGTTTCTATACCAGCGTCGCTTGCCCATCTGCCATGGGCCGGGAGAGGGCAGGGTACAGTGCTTTCTGTAGTCGAGGTATCTGGCAGTTGAGTAATGCTTTCTTAGGAGGAAGGGGTGGAGTCGCCCTCGCTCCCGAGATGGTAGAATGTGCCGTTGTGGAAGCCACGTGGCCGTCCTCAGCCTGAAGCCCTTGGTGTCGCCATCTCCATGCCACAGCCATGGGCACCGGAGGACGGGAGACCACCAGCACTTTATTCACAGAGAGGTGGGCCGGGGCTGATCACTGATCCTGACGGAACCACCTCTTATAGGGGTGGGGGGTGGGGGGAGGGACCACCCTCGGCGTTTGGACTGAGTGTGTAGAAACGGAACTGCTCGTGGAGAGAAAAGCCTACAGACATCTTTCACAGCATCAAGTTCAGTGTGGCCTCATGCCATTCCACCCTCCATACATCAATCGTTTGGCCCACAAGGCACCGTGCGCAACTACTGTACTGGAAGGAGGGCTGAGGCTCGAGTGCGGGGACCCCAGGGCTGTGGGCAACGGACCCACCGGAACCCCTGGGGTCCTGGGGAGGGGTGGGGAGGCGGTGGGTCTGAGGTGTGACGGACGTGAACGTGGGTCAGCTCAGGAGTCCCTGCTGAGTCCCTGCTGAGCTGAGAGTGTCAGTGATGTGGTGAGTAGTGTAACGCACTCTGGGTATATCAGTCGGACATTCGCAGTACCGGACGCGGCGAGCCAGGAGGGCGGGCCTCCACTTACATTCAGGAGAAATCCTAACCCACAGGCGTCCCTATGGCTTCCACCGAACCCCACCCCCGTGGAACCTGTGACTCCAACCCCGCTCCTGGTCTCCACACAGCACAGACCAGGGCGTGGTCCTGGCTGTTCAAATACACAGACACGGGACCGTACAGGGAAGGCTAATGGGAACCGGAGGAGAGCGAATAGACCACTGAGATGAGCTCGTTTACAGTGTGACTTGAGGAACAAAAATGGCAATTAAAAAAAAACAAAAACCTTCAAAACATAAGTTATAGACATTCAGTGCCTCCTAGCAGAGTCTAAATCAAATTCGAAAAAAACAAAACCAAAAGGTAAAAACGGCTAAAATGTTAGGAAGAGAATTAAGGAGTGGAGATAGTATCTATACTTCTCTGAAATATGTCTTTTTTTTTTCTTCTTATATTAAAAAGCCAAAAGTCAGCTTTCTATTCTTAAAGTCTCCTTTCCTGATCTGGGGAGATAGATAGGTGTGTTTCTAAGGCGGCTGCCCCGTGACACCCGCCAGTGTCTCGAAGGCAGCTGCTCAATGCCCTGAAGGTGAACAAGAACAAAGTCCAGTGCAGAAACTGTCCATCTGATGCGGTTTGGAGAATCCATCGCAGGGCAGCCGGGGAGGGCGCCTTAGGGTGAGGAGGGCTGGGGGGAGGGGGCATGAAGGGAAAAGGGGGACCGTGGGCTGAGGACAGAGCGCGTCAAGTCACTTCAGATCTCAGCTGCCTGAACACGTTGCAACATCGGCGTCCTACCAACCTGCGCACCTGAAAACCAAGTCTTCGAAGCCCCTTGCCGAGGAGACGAGGTGAGCGTTTTCCCTCTTTCCCACACCCTCGGCTTTCCCGACACGCCCAGTTTAATGCACACGCGCCCACGAGCAGGCGTGGACATGCACCAGGGTAGTATGTGTGTGCACGCGTGCGCGAAGCTACGGCGGCCACGCAGATGAGCAAAAGAGCCTCGCGCCCGCACCCACGGTCCGCGTGCTGGGACACACACATGCACACACACACTGGAAAAAGCACTTAAGTTTCCAGGGGGCGTTTAGAATGAGGTCCACAGTGTTTAGAACTTAAACTCTTTTCCTTTGTTGGCAACAGTGTTGTGTAAATTTTTTTTCCCCTACCGTTCTCTCTCGCTTTTCTTTTGTTCGGAAGTAGAAGTCTTAAAGCATGTTGGACTTCAGAAACATGAGTTTGTTCATATCTTCGGGGCTGAGCAGTCGCCTCCTTTTGATGAGAAGCGCCTGCTCACACATACTGACACACCCACTCCTGGCCCCCACGGCCGGGACCGCGAGGAGCCAGAAGGCCAGCTTGGCGAGTTTCGTGTGCTTCTGGGTCACGCACGACCAGTACTGGAAGAGATCGGGGGTGGCCTGGAAGAGGGGCTCCTGCAGGTAATCGTACACCTCGTTCTTGCCCAGCCGATCGTCTTCCTGAGCGGCGGGGTTCTCGCCGGCGGCAGAGCGCGGCTTCTTGGCGGCGGGCTCGAAGTCGGCCTCCTCCGTCCAGGACTCCTTGACCTCGTTGATGAGCTCACACACCTTGCCGATGATTTCCTCGTGCTGATACGGCGGGACCGGCCGCAGCTTCTGCTGTGGGTCCAGGATCATGGCCACCTTATGCGCCGGGTGCACCTTGAAGTTCTCCTTGAGGGCTTCCAGGAAGAGGTGGCACAGCTTGCTGACCGTGCCCGCGTCGTTGGCCTTGGCCGTGAACAGCTTCTCCAGCCGGACGTAGGTGGGCAGCACCAGCTGCAGGGTGGGCTGGCTCTCGTTGCTCAGCTCGATGACCGCCTGCTTCACCGGCGTCAGGATGGCCGCCAGGTTGCTGAGCAGGTGCTTGTTGAGGCTCTGGATGAGGTTCATCTTCTTGGCCCGGCTGTAGAACTCGCAGATCTGCTCGTAGCGCTCGTGCACCAGCAGCAGCGAGTCCGTGACCGAGTTCCAGCAGGGCGGCGGCGAGGTCTCCTCCAGCGACCCGAAGGTCTCCTTGGCGAGGCCGGTGGATCCCGCCAGGTCCTCACACACGTTGAGCAGCTCGATGACCTCGTGCATGCTGCGGGCCTGCAGCGTCCGCTTGCTCAGCACGCTCTGCACCACCGAGTTCAAGGCACAGGCTGAGCAGCGGAGGCACATGCCGGCCTTGGAGAAGGCGGACGCGCTCACCCGGCAGTCCGTCACGTACACTGTCCTGATCTCCGACATCACGAACTCTGACAGCACGTTCTGCACCCAGTGGTGCACCAGGTCGCCGCTGTCACGGATGTCCGCTCCCTTCACGCCCAGCACGTAGCTCTTGATGTGGTTGCCCTCGGCCTGGTAGGCAGTGAGGATGTAGCAGGAGTCGGGGCCCACGCTCTGCGAGTGACAGGTGACGCCGATGCCCAGGCAGGCGTTGCTGCCCAAGGCACACGTCACCTTCACCTTCACCTGGTTATACATGCGCGGCAGGTGCTTCAGCGCCAGCGTGTTGAAGTTGCCCAGGATCTCGGTGACGGAGAAAGCCCCGTAGCGGGCGCCACTGTCCACCAGCGTCTGGGCCAGTTTCAGGAACTCCTTCCCACTCACCACGCTCAGCGCTCCCAGGTCAGCGCACATGACCCGCAGCAGCCGCTCTGCGATGTTCTGCCGCTCCTTCTCAGGGATGATGCTGTTGGATGTTAAACCGCTGGCCGTGGCTGGCAGGGGACACAAGGAGAGATCGGATTAACCCTGGCATCTGAGGCTCCTTGATCCAACAGCAGACTAATACTCCCAGCATCTATTATTAGGAATGATGAACAGATTTCATCTTGTACAGAAATTACATGAGTTTCAGGAGAATAACATTCTATGACTGATGGATTGGTAATGCCTGCCATGGGCGTGGGAATACAACATAGTGGTTGGTATGTGTGCAGCATACTTGCTGCATGGGCCAGTCACCTAGACTTTTGAAGCCAACTGGTCCAACCTCTTCCTCGGTATAGCAATGGCTGCTAATAAAGGCACCTCCAGTGGCTCGTGAGCCGCAGTTTGCCGACCACTGGTCTAACCTCGTCCTCAGTATAGCAATGGCTGCTAATAAAGGCACCTCCGGTGAATAAAATGCAGGAGGCCAACATGTCAGGAAAGAGCAACCAACAGAAATTGTGAGAGTGGATTCCAGTTCTGATCCTGTCACCAATTTGGACTCTCTGATCACACACAGATCACTCCTCTCCCCAGGCCCCCTTTTGCCGATCCTATGAGTTCTTACTAGTAAGTGTGAAAGTGCTTTGGAAACTGTTATGCGTGGCCTTCCGTCACCCTGGGAGGCACAGGTGGTGGGGATGCGGGCAGAAGGGAGCAACCCGAGCTGGGGCTGGAGGTGCGTGGGGCAGACCTCCGTGAGTCCCCCGGCTCCAGCCTGGAAGAGACCTACTGTTGTTGGCGCTGTTCCTCTGGGCCTGGGGTTTCCACTTCTCTTCCACAACAGCAGGTGGCGATCGGGACTGGTTAGAGGTGATGTTGTTCTCGTTGTCCGCTGTGGGCACAAAGGGGACAGTGTGTCACTCTAAAGTATCAGAGGCCTGTGGACTAACAGACAAGAACTAGAGCATGGTGGGTGAGGGCACGCATGCCCCCTGGGACTGAGGCCTGGAGCCAAATCCTGGCTCTTCCTCACACAGCTATCATAGGTTTGCGAAGCTTCATTTTCATCATTTGGAAAAATGAAGATAATCACACAGACAGGACACAACTGCTGGAAGGACTAACAAGAGAGAACGCAGGGAAAGGGCGAAGCACAGTGCCCGGCGTGGAGTAAGTGCTGAGCAAATGGGGATCACAGCACGGGTCTGGCTGGGAGGCCCCCCCACCACACACACAACCCCAGAATTCTAGCTCTGAAATGGGGGAGGGGTTCCAGTTACACCCCAAGGGACCTAAAGCATCTCATACTTTCACGTCTTCAAAGTGTGGTTTTTTTGGACTTTTCAGTATATTTATTAGAAATTTAGTTTATGAGGCTGGCATTACCCTGATCCAAAACTAGAGAAAAACATTACAAGAAAAGGAACAACAACCAATATCCCTCTTAAACATATACACAAAAGTCCTTAACAAAATATTAGCAAGCTAGAGACAGTAATATATAGAAAGAATAGCATATCATGACTATGGAGTTTATCCCAGAAATCCAAGTTGAGGTTAATAATTGAAAACCAATCAGTGTGATGCCCTATACTAAGTGGAAAAAACAAATAGAAAAATCATCCCCACAGATATAAATGCACATTAAAATATGACAAAATTCAACAGCCACCCACGACACAGACTCTGAGAAAACTAGGAAGAGAAGGAAACATCTACTTGGTAAAGGGCGTCAGAGAAAAGTTGATGGAAATAAAAAGGATTATAAAGAAATACTACAAACAGTAGTAGTCCAACAGATTAGATAACCTGAATGAAAGAGACATATTCTTAGAAAGACATCAACTACCAAAAATGATTCAAAAACCAGAAAATCTGAATAGTGGTTTCCAGGGCTGGGATGCAGGGAGGGCCTGGCTGCACGGAGGCAGGAGGGGGCGTTCTGGGTGGATGGTTAACCCGTCCAACTGTGCTCTTAAACTTGTGAATTTCACTTCTGTAAATTACATCCCAATGAATCTGACTTTAAAACGACTAAGGAGAAACCCATGAAAAGAGTAACAGTGGTTAACTTTGAGATTAGGGCCCGTTCTTCATTTCCCAATTTCTCTGCATTTTCCCAATTTCTTCTAATGAACAGATCTTACATTTAAAAAGGGGGAGCGCAGATTTTAAAACGGAAACCGGCAGCCTTTCTTGTGGATGTTCTCCACTAGAGCACAGGGATCTGGAAGGCCTGGGTTTGAACCCAGCTCTGCCAGGGCTGTGGGTGTGACCATGAGTTCGTCACTTCTGGGCCTCAGTTTCCCCTCCTCCCTCCACAACGCTGGGGCTGGACAAGCTGCAGGGTCATTCCCTCATTCTGACTGTCCGCAGGACTTGGAATCCAAATTACTCAGCCTAGCATTAGATAACACTGTCTGGTATCGGTTGAATAAAATAAAATGTTCCCCTCCATATCTCAGATGCTGCTACTGCATGGGTGAGGTACTGTAAATGCTCTGTAAAAAGGCTTGATTTATAGCTTGAGCTGGACATAACATTTACTCTGTGTGGCCATCCCTATGTACACAGGCATACACACACACACACACACACACACACACACACACACACACTCACGTCTGGTCTACAAAGGGCTGGATGCAAAGCTGGAATAAAGGCTGTCCCCCAGGAGGAAGCAATGCAGGAAGGAGGAAGAGCATGGGGCTAACATCGTGACTGCACAGCCTTGGACTTTTCAGTATATTTATCAGTAAGTTACTAAGCCATTTTGTGCCTCCATTTCCTTATCTGTAAAGTGGAGCTAATACAGACACTTAACTCAGAGGGATGTTCTGAGGTTAAGTGAGCTAATATGTGTGAAACTCTTAGGATAAGTCCTGGCACCAAGGAAGAGCTCAAATCATGTTAGTAGCTGTTTGGACCAGTGATTCTGTTCTCTGAGCCTCAGTTTCCTCATCTGTACAATGGGATCCTGTCAGCCGGCGAACAGGCTTGTTCAGATCGAACGAAATAACCTCCTGACACATACTGATCGCTCACTACATGTTAGCTGTCTTTAGTATTATTACTGACAAAACAGGCTCCTGACCTCTTACAAAGCAAGACAGGTTTCCCTCCGGCACCGACAGGAAGTTTATTAGCGGGAATTACCCTGTGCCGTTCAGCAGCCTCTTAATGAGATTGGTGTTATTCGAGGCTGATCCCCCTGCGCAGCAGCGCTGTGAACTGCGCAGATCATGACGTTTAATTTCTCTCTATGGAGTCAATCCTTTAATCCCGACGCAGCCTGGCTGGGAGTCAGCCTGGCTTTGCACCGGATTGCCTCCCGCATTCTCTGCCAGCACTGGACCAGAACAAAGCGGCCCAAAGCTCTTCATGGAAAAAGTGGAGGTGCTGGAGGAGGTGGGGCCACCGGGAGGTGCAGCCTTGATTTGCATTTTAATGGCCTCTGCCCAACTGCCTGAGGCACGGCCTAGCCGCTCCAGACTCTTCCCTAATTAGCCTCAGCTTCCAGAGGCGGGCAGAGCAGGTGGAGGGTTGGGGCTTCAGAGGAGGGAGGGAGGGAGTGGGTTGTGGGAGTTTCAGGCCGTGGTCCCTGAGCAGCCTTCATCTGCTGTCACCATTCCCCGTAAGGTCAAGTCTAAATGCCCCGAGCTGGCATTCAAGGCCTTCCCTGGGCCTCCCCACTCGCATCTCTGGCCTCTGCTCACTCTGACCTCAAGCCACACTCAACATCCACCTTCACATCTCCCTGGTCAGTTCCTATTTGGCCTTTAGGTTCAACATGGGAGCCACAACCTTCCAGAAGCCGGCTTCAGCCCCGTGCCACTCTCTGTGCTCTCCCAAGCCTGCTGTCCCCCCTAACCCCACCGTGTTATAACCGATGGACCGGGGATTCTGAAGGCAGGTCCCATGTCCTGTGACCATTTCCTGGGAAAGAGTGGCCTTCCCTGGTCTGGGGGGGGGGGTGCTGCAGCGCCCCATGGGCTGTGGGGCGCTTACCCGCATGGGACTGCATGTGCTCCAGCAGGTTGTTGTAGAACTGGAACTGGATCCCACAGGCGCCACACGTGTAGGGTTCTGCGGGGAGAAATGAAGCAGCCGTTTTAGGGGCAGAAGGACCCTGGGCACCTTCCTGCTGGGCTGTGGGCAGATTTGGAACTGGGAACCCCCACACACACTGGGGCTCTGGGCCCAGCCTGACCTGCCCCTGGCACTAACGGGTGAGCGGGAGGCCGGGGGCAGGAAGGATCGATGGGGAGAGGAGGACGTGCAGCCTCAGAGAGCCTCTGATGCGGTCAGGCAGCCATTTACTGAGTGCTTACTGTGTGCCAGGCACTGTTCTGGGCACTGGGGGTGGGCTGGAGGAGGGACGGGAGCTCTCAGGCAGAGACCGGGTCTTACTGGTTCCCCGGCCCATCTGCCTGCCTGTAGAAGCACACGGGCATCACTGTTTGCTGAGCAAACGAATGAGTTAATGTATGAATGAGCCCCCAAACAAGGCAATGGACACAGAGGAAAGGAGAGGAAGAAGAAACTGGAGAACAGGGTAAGAAGTGGAGAAAGCCACAGAAAAGCAAGAAGTGGGACAAGACGCTGAAAGGGCAGAGAAGAGGGGGAGGGCGGGAGAGAAGGGAGGATGACAGCACACAGGACCGGGACAAGTGGGCCTTCATCTTTCATCTCTGCTCCCAATACTCGAGTCAATGCCCAAGAGATGAGGGAGGAAGAAGGGGTACAAAGGAGGGAAGGATAAAGAGAGGAGGAGGATGGCTGACATGGGGAGGTCTGTGTTCCTGCAGGGCTGGGGGACAGAGGCGGCTGCCATGTCGGGGGTCTGCCTCGTCCCCCGTGCCAACTCCTCCACCCGCCTGGGCTGGGCACTCCTCCTGTGCGACTAGCTGCCCTGTCTGCCTGGGAGGGCGGCCCAAGGTCAGATGCTCTGGGGAGGCCCTGAGAGCTGGGGCCACTCAGTTCATTCCCTGCCCGGCCTCGCCCTCTCCAGCCCCCCATGGGACCACCACTTACTCTGTAGGAGAGGGAAAGTATTGGAAATCAGGGGACTTGCAGTTTCTGCAAAAGAGAAACAGTTTAGCTAGGTCTCCTCCAGGTCTGGTGCTCTCAGATGACCGTCATTATTTCCATTGTTAACAAGTGGTGAGCCAGATGGGGCCCTCAGACGAGGGGAGCACAGAGCCAGGCTCAGATTCCGGGGTGGGGCTGGGACACTGGGCAGGGCAATGGCAGCCAGGGCCACCCCTCTAGGACACACTCAACTCTCCAAAGGTGAGCCCACAGAGCACAATGAGAACGTCCACGCTCGGCTTCAGGACGGGAAGCTGCTTGAGGTCCTGGCCCCGAGGGCTGTGCTTGTGAGGTGCTCTGCCTGCTGGAACCTGCCCCACGCTGCCTGGTGCTGCCAGGTGAGCCTCAGACGCAGGAGGTGGCAGTGCGGGTGGACTCGGCTGGGGTCCTGGCTCCACCACTTACAAGCTGGGGACCTGGGGCAACTACCCCTTTCTCCTGAGCCTCCGTTTTCTCACCCCAAAACGAAAGATAACCCTCCTCCTGGGGCTGGGGCACACGTGAAGACAGGAAAGACACACACAGCTCTGAACACATGCCAGGCACAGAGTAAGCGCTCAGTAAACGGTGTCTGCCCTTCACACAGCCCGTTCCCAGTTCTAGTATTGGCTCTGGTGGAAGGAGAGGCAGGGGGTGCAGCCTGGCCGGCTCAGAGCAGAGACCCCCGGGAGGCCAGGCTCCGGTCCTGATGCTTAGTCCTGTGTGGCCTTGGGCAAAACGCCACCACGTTAAGACCACTTGTTGGAGATGCTGCCGGATTACATTTTTCAAAAGGGTTGAAGCAGCTTGGAAAAGCTGACACGTTCTCTACAGTGAAGGGGTCCTGCCAGGGCCCCCTCCCCCCAGCACCCCTCACTCCCTTGCTCAGGGCACTCGTAGAATAACTGGGTTTACTTAAAGAGATTACGTGAGTGGGTACGTAATATCTGCAGGACACTTGCTGAATGCTCACCATGCAGGGACGTCTGTGCTATCCCCACTTTACAGTGGAGGAGAATTGAGAGTTCAGGCCCAGCCACCAGCTCACAGGGTGCGGAGCTGAGGCTCGAACCTTGGCTGGAGACAGAGCTGGGGCTCAGATTCCTACACAGAAGCCTCCACATTCAAATCTGTGTTCCCAACTGTTTCATGAAGCCCCTGATGGACGGTCAGGCTGCGCCCAGCATCTGTCTATACACAAGCAGTGCCCAGGATATGCGGGCACAAGCGGAAACCGAGTATGACGAACGGAACTTCAACTGTGCGAGAGAGGGGGTGCCTTGCTTTACTATAACCAGTGTCAGAACTCTTTCCCCTTCCCTTCCTGCCCTGGCTGCCACTGTGCAGACCGCCTGGCTATGGCTTTTCGGACAGAGGCCGCTGGTGACCCCCCCACGGCCCCGCCAGGCTGACCCAGGTCTATCTGGGGAGAGGGGCCTTGGGCAGCTCTGTTCTAAGGCCCTCTCTGTTCTGCCAGGGTCCCAGCAGAGGCAGCCACCAGGGGGCGCCAAAACACTGCCAGGAACCTCAGGCAAACCTTGGGCGGGCAGGGGCTGGTAGGGAACCGTTCGATGATGGTTCCTGGTCCGAAGTGAAGCCAGAACTCTGGGCCTCTGGCTTACCAGGCCACAGCTCTCTCTGCTGTAACCCCATTGCCTCTGCTGGAAAGAAAATGGCTATGATGTTTTCTCTAAAAGCACAGAAATGGCTCTTTTAGGCTCAGCTCTCTGGGGCCATGCGTGTAGATGTTGCAGGCTATGGGGTAGGGGGAGTTCCTCTCTCCATGGGGAAGAGACAGGAAGGGCCACAGTCCCCCGAGATGCCCCCGAGGCCCAGAAGGAGGCCCCTGGAAGACTAGGCCCCTGGGTTTCTGCCCAGCCCTGGCCTCCTAATTCTCAGCCCCCTCCCAACACCACCAGCATGCACCATGGAGACCCCAGCCCACAGGGGGGAGCAGACGAAGCCGGCAACCTCAGCACAGGGCACCTGGCACAGGGCACACTCACCGCTGGAGTTTTGGGAACTGCTGTTCGTCTCTTCAAAGTGGTTTTGTGCTTTGCTCTCTACTCTCCGACTGAAAGCGCTTTCTGCTGGTGGGGACAGGAGAGAGTGAGAGAAAACGACGGTGATTGATCAGCACTAGGTCCAAAGGGGGGGGGGCATGCCAGAGGCGGCTCAGAGGCTGGGGTACCTGGGCTTGGTGTTGGGGGGATCAGACAATGAGGAGCTCCAGGATCCCCAACCAGAGCCCCCAGCTCCTCAAGCTCACCTGAGCTGCCTGATACCTCGTCAGGGCCCCAGGAGACCCTCCGGACAGTGCCCAGAGGGGGTGGAGGTCCAGGCCTAGGGGCATGTGTGGGTGACCTGTCCAGGAGCTCACAGATGAAATCCAGCCAAGTGAGCAGACGGCAAATGGGCTTGGGTCTCCCATCTGGGCCCCTGGGGAGCCACACGTGTGCCACTGAGTAATGTGGACCTGCCCCCACTAGTCCCTCTGCCAGATTCCGCTGTCTCAGGCCCCACAACGGAGCAGGGAGGAGGGCAGACTGTCTCCTGAAGGCAGTTCTGGCAGAGCAGGTGGGCCGGACAGCTCCATATGCCCAGTGGTCCCTGAGTGGCAAGGAGCGCCTTGGAGAGAAGGTGTGCCAGGCAGAGCGGGGGCAGCCCACACCCCAGGAGGCCAAAGACCAGGTGAGGTCCGGTCAGAGTTCACCCGGGTTAAGGACTAGCTCCTGATGATTTCTTGGGCATCTCCACTTACAGACGGCACTTTTCTTAGTGGCTCACCTTCTCCCAGGCACTGCCTGTAACCCCAGAGGCAGAGACAGAATCCAAGGTGGAAAATACCAATTTAGTGCCCACCTCTCCCCCACCTGCAGAAGGTACTGAAACTGAATATCTGGCTGGGAGGGGACTCGGCTTTTCCAAGCAGCTCTTGGCACAGTGGGTGCCGGATGCTCCAGGAGAGAAAGACTTCTGGGAACAAGTCACGGGGTGGAACAGCCGACCCAGCCCCTTTCTTAGGGAGAAGCAACTTGCACCAGCGTGTCAAAGGCTCGGAGAGTTCACTGAAAAGAGGCCCATCTGGCTTTATTTAATCCAGCCTTTCCTAATGGATTTGGCCACTCAAGCCTATTTTTCTTTAAATATATTTTTATAAATTTCAGAGAGGAAGGGAGAGGGACAGAGAGAAACATCAATGATGAGAGAATCATTGATCAGCTGCCTCCTGCATGCCCCCCACTGGGGATCGAGACAGCAACCTGGGCATGTGTCCTTGATTGGAATCGAACCCGGGACCCTTCAGTCCACAGGCCGACACTGTATCCACTGAGCCAAAGAAGCTAAGGCGCCTAATTTTAAATTAGTGGATAGATTCCTTACTATTCCTCAAAAAATGGTGGTTTCAGGAACTCACTGTGGGAAATACCACTGTCACCCAGTCCACCCCATGCCAGAAGGGCTCTCGCTCAGGCTGTGGGGGCCGGGGTTCTGGGCGATCATCGGGTGACAGGAAAGGAAGCCAGAGGCGGCTCCTACAGGTCCTGCTCAATGCCCCATTCCCTGGCCCCAACGACGTCTCCTGATGCAGCCTCCTTTCCGCAGAGGCTGTCCTCATCACAAAGATAACCCTCTCTTCAAAACGCATCCACAGAATGCCTGGGCCGAGAGCTCCATACCTGCCTCCTTCAAGAAGTCATCTTTAAATGGGCAAAGAAAGCCCCTCAGTTCTTTGCCTAGGGAAAAGGGGGGAGGTGCACTCATTTACTGAGCACCTACTATGTGCCCGGCACTGATTTAGATGCCTTACACCCAGGGTCTCTCTTAATTCTCCCAATAGCTCTATGAGGTCCACGCCGTCACTTCCATTTTATAGGTGAAACACACACACACACACACCCAGCGGAAAGTGAGGCTGTCATCTCTCTTAATTCTCCCAATAGCTCTATGAGGTCCACGCTGTCACTTCCATTTTATAGGTGAAACACATACACACACCCAGCGGAAAGTGAGGCTGTCACGTTCCCGGGGCTGAACATGCTGCTAATCCCCTAAGACGGCAGAATGAGACTTCATTCTCGCACAGGCACACGCTTCCTTTTTCACAAGCGATTCCTTTCTGCATCTTAATCCTCGTGCGTGCAGGGGGGTGGCGACCCTTCTGCGGGGGACTTTCATGCAGCCTCGTACTTTATTGGCAGAACTTAGGACAACTGAGGTCATGATTCGTTTCCCAGTACTCAGCTCATAACGCAAACTTGATCAGCTCTCCCTACCACAGGCACCTCCGGCCACAAACCAGTGGGCTGTACGATGTATGAGGTCCCAGGCACAGGCCCGCACCTCCGCCCAGGAAGAGCTGCCTGTTCCAACACGGTGAAGGTGGTGACCACTTCCAGCTCTGCCGTGCAGGTTCCTGCCGCAACCTGGTGTCCTCTGCTCTGCCCACCTGCTCTGCCCCCAGCCCCAAGTCTCCCAGGTCACATAAAGGCAGCTAGAAGCAAGTCCCAGAGCTTCCGGGATGCTTCTTTGGGGACACTGAGGTCCAAGAGCTGCCCCTTCCAGGCAGCTCCCTGCATGAACTACAGACGTAGAAACTCCCATCCAGAAGGTCAAGAATAAAAAGCAAACATTTGAAACTAGTGATCCCATTAGTTAGCTGAGCCAACATCTACCACCAACGAGCCCATGAGGACCAGCCTATTTCTAGAAAAATACAACAGCTATCGGCTTTTCTCAACACAGTACCTGAAAATCCATGATGCTCAAGGTTGATTACGTACTTACTCTCCTTCCGGGACATCTAAACTTCATAAGCCTATCTTCAAACATTTCTGACGAACACATCCTTGCCCACAGTAGCCCACGAACCAAAGAATAATGGCAAACACAACTCGTCAACCGCCAGTCCAACCTACTGGGTCAATGAACTCAGTCTGATCACTTGTGTGGTTAATGGATGGCCGTGGGCCTCTTAACAGCAACTGAAAGGTCCCTGATCCCAGAAGGACCACATCATCACTCTACCCTACATCACTCTACCCTCTGTCCACAGGCAGGCGCCCAAGGCTCGTTCCATCTGGGCATGAGTCAGGGTTCCTGATAACTGGCGCTCAGCACACATGCGTCTTATCCGTTTTCCTGGGAGAAATACCGCTGTTCACCCTTCGGGGGTCGGAGCCCCTCTCCGCCTGGACCAGAAAACACTGGAGCTGGCATCCATTGGTCTCCTGCTGGGCCACGGCCCAGGGAGCGATTTCACGAGTAGCGGGAGGCCAAGAGCACAGAGCTCCCGGCCAGCCACTCTGCTTCGAGGAGAACAGCTCTTCGTAGAAATGAGTTCTTAGGCTGGGTTTTCGGAAAGATGGGGGATGCAAACGCATGCCGAGGGGTTTCCAGGCAGGGACATGAATGGATGAACTGGGCTGCATGTCAGACAGACAACAGTGCGATCACAATGAGAAATGGCACCCGCCACATGGCTCTTGTGTTGGGTAGGCAGGAGGGAGTGGTGGGGACTGTGGAAAACTGGAGAGCACATGCTCTATGAATACAGGAGGCAGCTGTGGCTCAGCCCAAGCCAATTGTTGCACTGCAGGAAAGTGGGCCCGGAACGGCCGGAGCTGACCTGTCCATGTCAGCTGGAGATCAAGTTTCACATAAAACCTCCTAGCGTCCAAATGTTGGCAAGGAATTTAAAGCAGTTTTTAAAAACACCTTAGGCCATGACGTGGGGGGAAATATTCTCTTGTTTAAAAAGAGAAAACTTTGCAAACTCTCCTGTGCAACCCTCTGATTTAGGATAAGAAAACTTAGACTCAGAGAGGTTAGTTAGGCGGCTCGCCAAGGTCTCAGGGCCCGTCAGAGGCAGAGCCAGGACCCAGATTCGTCCCACAGAACTAGGGGACCCCCACTCTTGCTCTTGCAAGGGAACAATGACCCCGGGCACAGCTGTGGCAGGTGGGGGGAGGGGGAATGGAGGGAGTGTGGGGTGACATAGGCCGTTGGTACCTGAGGTTGCCTTGTTGGCTGGAGATCCTGAATTTGGAGTGCGGAACGTCTGGGTTTGGGTGGCTGGAGGGGTGCGGTGTAAGAGGGTGGAGCATCGGACCACGGAGGCCGAAGCTTTTTTCCCCGACTGGTTCGTCTGGGTCTTCGCGGCCACGAAGCGTGGAGACGGGGAGACCTCTGGATGTGAACACTCAGAGCCCGTGTCTGGATCGTCCGGTGGCTCCCACCCGGGGGCGGTACCTGAGAGGGTCACGCTCTCAGTCCCCAGGAGCCCTCGGAGCTGGCGGAGTAAGTGGCCTCTCGAGCCACCGCCCCCACCTCCGCCCCCCATGCTCGAGGGTAGACACCTCTTCTCAGTCGACAGAAAGCAAAGACTCTCGCTCCTACCTGGAGCCTAAGAAAAATCTGGGAGTCTAGAACCTTCCCCAGCTTCTCCTCGAGGCAAGCCTATCTCACACCTTACCCTCCAACGGCCCCAGGGTATAAGCAGAGAGGGATGCAGGGGCTCAGAGAGGGACAGGCACCACTCCGGGGTCACAGAGCAGTTTGGGATGGAGCCACGATGCATTTACCAGGCTCCTAGCTCATTTCATTCCATAGTTTACACCATGTGTTGACCTTCTCACGTGAAATGCTGTCCAGCCGGAATTCCTACCTGGGCTTTCACAGAGAAAGGCTGGCTGATTGCTCTTGTAAGAAAATAGGAGATATTTACACATAAAAGAGATATTTAAAAATAAGAGAACACAGTGATCTCTCCTTCCTGTGAAGCTGAAAGTTTAAGTGGAGCAGAACATCCAGAGAATATATGGATTTGAAAAAAGTAACCATGCCACTGAGAGGGAGAAGAGACCGGGGCCCAGGGGAGGGGGCAGGGGACCCCCTGAAGGAGGGGGGAGTGGAAATGAATTTGCGGCAAGTGGGCCTCGTGGGACCAAAGGCTGGAGGTGGGAATGAGAGGGAGACGGGATGCACAGGGTCTAATCTGTGAAATCCTTGTGGGTGTTAGTCTGAGGAAGAGAACTGGAGACCTCACACTTCTGGCCACGATGGAGCCGCTGGTGTAGGACTAGCC